CTCTCCTAAATCCAACAAAAACTCAACTTAAAAAAATGACAACTGTTCTATAAAATTTAGCCTAGATTCAACTTGCACATGAAATTATTTCATATATAAGCTGGAAAAGAAAGCTCCCAAGCAAACAATCCTGGTTTAGGGGGGTTGTGCTGTTTAAATTAGGCATAGGCAAACTCTGCCCTGTAGATGTTTTGGGACTACAACTCCCATCATCCCTAGGAGTTGTAGTCCCAAAACATCTAGAGGGCCGAGTTTGCATTATGCCTGGTTTAAATCATTGAATTCCTGCCAGATAAAGAGATTGCAGTATGCTAGCTGAGGGAAATATGTCTTCTCATTCTAAAGTCTTCATTAAGGTGTTTTCCTTAAATGCTGCAAGACAGACAAACTGAGCAATATGCAACAGAGTGATATGCAACAAGCTGTATAATTATTAAAATAAATTCTATGATTTTCTACAGAATGTTTATACAGCAAGCCTGCACCCTTCCGCTACTCTCATTTTACAACAAAATTATGTGGGCGTGTGGGTGAGAGAGAAGTGACAGACGGCCCTTGATATTTGGATTTTCTATCTATCTCTCAAGCCAGTATTCCTAAGGCAATTAAGGAGATTTTAAAATGCTTAATGTCATTGATCTTAGCCAGTGCTTTTTTTCTAAAAAAAAAGTTTAAGGGTACTCTCATTTTCCTACTTGTACTGCAATACTGCCCCTCAATGAGGTCAAACTTAGATTCACAAAATGTTTAGGGGTATGCGTCCCCCCAGAAAAAAGCACTGATCTTAGCTTCCGGCTCTCAGCTAGACATTTTTGAAATTCCCTAGTACCTTTGCTATTCACAGGCCAAGGGAGTCTCCCACAGTTTCCTGGCACTTGCTTTTTATTTTGTTTATAGGCCGCTAGCTATACACTGAACACTCGTCTTTAACTATGATAACTTACTCCTCGAGGAAGCTCTGTTTCTGCAGAATGCCATTCCCTAAGCAAAGTAGTTTAGGTCTACTTTAATGTGTACAAAGAAAGTGTGAGTGTGTGTGTGTGTGTGTGTGTGTGTGTGTGTTAAATCCAACAAGCTTGCTGTAATAAGTATTAATAAGTAAAGTTCAACATGGTTAAAATGAAGTATTTTAACTCCTTTCCTTCAAACAAGGGTGGAGGTATATGCTTGCAAAGCCCTCTTCCCTCGATCACGACCTGAGCAGAGCCCTTTTCTGTCTCCTCCTAATAGGAACTTGCAGCTGAGAGCACTCATTATGTGTTAAGTAGGATGCCCATTATCTGATTCTTCACCCCTGAAGCTTGGATGTAAATGTTTCCTCAGCAACTTTTTGCAAAGGCAACAGCTCTTATTTATGTACAGGTGTAAGTATATGTTATTGCAGATACTACTTAAAATTTACATCCTTCTTAAACCTAAATCAATCATTAATGCATAGCGTTGGCTCACAATACATGAATTCAGAGGTACTGGGGTCACTCAGCTGATTGTTGCAAATATTCATTTGCTAAAATCCTCGTATGTATGTGTCACACACACACACTGAACTTTTATACTGCCTTTCATCATTCTTGACCCCAGGGTGTGTTATAAACATATAAAGCAGATAAAACCAATTCTCAAATGAATTATTATTTTTTAAATGCTATGGACGTATTATATAATCTCAACACCTATGAAGGCTGGGGAAGTATGTAATCCACCAAAAGAATGGCTGGGGAAACCCAGCCAGATGGGCGGGGTATAATAATAATAATAACAACAACAACATTATAACTATTACACTGTAGGTGCCACTAGCCAAACATCCAAGGGGAGGGTGTTTCACATCTGGGCCTCTACTGTCCTATTCTTCTTCTTTGGCGATCACTTGTAGCAGAGTAAGACTGTCTTCCATGAACACCGTCTTAAAGAGAAAGCTGGTTCTTGTGTCACAGCATAATTCACCAGTCCTTCATAAAGAGCTAAATGGATCCATCACATTATTCAACACCTTCCAAGTCACGAAATATTTTTAGGATTAATCTTATCTTGTATTTAAGTGTTTTGTTGCATTACTGCCAATCCACATCCCAAAAGACTTGATGTTTCTGCCCTCACCTTGAGAAATTATTTCATTTCCTGGGCTGAAGGCTGGGATAGGAATCGCAATTCCACTGACAGGGATTTTCCAGATATCATCATGCCAAGGTAATAAAAATTGCTTTACAGATAGGCACAGAGAATGCACATTAATTCAGCACTGGCAGTAATGGAGTGAAGGAATGACTGCAGTAAGGATGGAGAGATGAAATTAAAAGCCACATTTTTTAAAATCTATCAACAGGTTAACTTACCTAGAAGAAGCTAAAGGTAAAGATTAAATACAAGAATAAGAACAACCCATGTAATGGGTTCTCGTCTTCACTGGGATGATGCCAAACAAACTAGAAGGTACTTTAATATACAACTGTAGTTTCTGTTTAGAATAACATTGTACAACTTAAAGTAAATTGAGATGAAAAAATTAAACGTATTAGGTAACTTGAGGAACTGGCAGAACTCTTGGTTAAATATGTCAATAGCTTCTTCACTTCACCAAACAGCAAAAGAGCCATTTTTAAGAGTTAGGTAAATTTACAAATAACATTTTAGACTAGAAATTATATGCTTGCAAGACATCCCTGTATCAAGCAAAGAAAGCTGTGCACTCCTAGCACAATGCAAAAGGATTCTAAGAATCCTAATGCAAGAAGTTTAAATCATACACCCTACAATTTTAAGCACCGTCATTACACTAAATCTTATATACACACCTTAATGACTTTTCATTGCTATGTAAAGGAAAGTTTTCATTATGATAAATCCTTTATTCTTACAAAATTGCTACACACACACAGTGATATGCTATTTTTTCAGCTGAAAAAGGAAGTAACTTGTACTGAAAATGAACTGAAACATGTACAGGAACCCACAATAAATTATGTAAACAGGGAATGTCAATATTTAGAGTAACCCACAGCAGTAGAAAATCCTGTTAATATAATGCGCAACTGTAAAAGAATTGTTCTGCTACATGCATTTGAATGGCACATAACACAATAAGTTTGAAACCGATTTTGGATAATGTGTATTATCTAGAACCTTCCAGTGTGCTCTGCTAACAAAAGTTGCAAAGCTGAGTTAAATTAAACTGGCTTTGACACACAGGAATCATTAAGGACAGCTGAGCTATGAGTTTAGCATATAACTGGTTAAATGTTTTTGTATCTAAACATGTGCACACTTTTCAAAGTGACAATATAGTTCGAATACCTTTAGACTTCTGCACTTAATAACTGTGTTTTGTTGTAAAAAAAGTCATAAAACCATACAATCTTTTAGTATGCTAAATAGACATACGATGAACATGTTTTAAATGACATTCAGTGCAGGTTTCCTAATCTCAGTTTATCAGATGAGAAAATTGCTTGTCGTACATGCATATCCCCAAGTAAATTTAAGATACCAATCAAGTTTAATTGCTGAATGTCTTCTGCCAGTTTTGCAGTCACATTCTGCTTCCTTAAAAACAATACCTACTTGCATTTGTTCTCTTCAATCACTATAAAAGCATTTTGCCTCCTGTTGGGTCCGAACAAAACCAGGAAATCTCTTACTTTAGACACGTTCCCTGGCAGCCCGTTAAGTTTTGCCACACTTATTCTCAGGCTTTTTAAGCCTCCCCCTTCAACTGCAGTCTCATTGTAAGTCAACAATCACATGCATACTTCACACAGCTTCGCAAAAACAAACAAATAAACAAACCCCTAAGTTCTTAATACTTGCATTAACTCACCCAATTATTCTGAAATTCCTGGCTTAAGCCGCATCAAAAAATGTAGTGAAGAGACTAGAGATAAATATTTGGGGAGGAAATCTCTCCTTGAGTGCCAAATAAAAACAGTGCTGAAGAATTAAAATCGCTATCTTGAAATGAGCTAAAGAAAACTCAAAGCTATATGCACGATCTTTCATGAAGTCTTCCCGGCAAAAGCTGTTGGTTAACTGCTCAGAACAGCAGAGACAAAATAGCTGGTTGAGGCTGCTCTGCAATACTGCGGAGAGGAGTCTGTATGACACGCACATGCAAATTGCCTTAAATCAGGCTTGCTGGGGGCTGGAATTTCTAGCTCTCTTTCTCCTATTGGACAGCCGAATTTCTCTCCTAATGAGCCTCAAGGGGCAAGGGCTCAGTGGTAACAGCTGGTATGGCAAAGGCTTGATTTCCATGCAAGGTTAGAAAGGCAGGATATTACCATTAACATGGCTACCCCCCCCCCGTTTCTGCAGGAGAAGCTCATAATATTGCTGCTAAACATATCTGTGTTTTTCCTCTTAAACTGAACTCGTTGCTAGATTAATACCCTTTCAAATGGCCTTATTTGGTTTGCTATTTTAGAGAAACTTTAAACTCCAGCGTCCAGGTACCTCATTTGTAAGATCTATCACGTATAAGGATTTTTCACTACACTTTGCAAACATAGTCCCACTCTACACTAAGAACAGCAGAGAAGCACGGCTGGGTCAGTCCCAAAAAAGTCTACCAACTCCAACATTCAGCCACCAACAGAGGCCAGGCCAGTCAAATGCATCTGGGAAGTTCACAAGCAGGGAATAAAGGCAATAATCCTCTCCCATTGTTCTCCAGATCCCGGCAACTGGTATGCAGAGGCCTTCTGTCTCTGAACCTGGAAGGTTCTATTTAGGTATCATGTCGAATAGATCTATCCTCCACAAACTTGTCTACCCTTTTAAAAGACATTTAAGACTGGAGATGCCACTGCCACCAAATCTTGTGGCAGTGGGTTTAATAAACGAATCACCTTCTTTTATGTCTCCTGAATCTGCGGTCAAACAATTTATGTGTCCGGAATCTGAGGTCAACAGGTGTGCAAAAGGAGGAAATCATAGAATTGTAGAGTTGGAAGGGATCCGTAGGATCATCTAGTCCACCCCCCTGCAACGCAGGAATATGCAACTGTCCCATACAGGGATTGAACCTGCAATCTTGGCGTTATCAGCACTATGCTCTAAACAACAAAAGCTGAATGAATTTGTTGCATCTTTACTGAAGAAGATGCAGGACAGAGCCCAGTCCCTGAACTAATTTTCTCAGGAAGGAAGTTTGAGAAACTGAGGTAAACAGTTGTGACAAGAGATGGAAATCTAGGTCTTGCTGACAAAATAAAAAGCAATACATCATCAGTTCCAGATGGCATCGACCCAAGAGATTTCAAATGTGAAATTGCTTATCTTCTAACAAAAAATTTTAACTTGTAAGATCAGCCTCCATTACAGAAGGCTGAAAATTGGAAAGTGAAACAGCTATTTTTTATAAAGGGATAGAGGGCAGGAAGATCTAGAAAATTACATGTCCGTTCTGGGAAAACTGAAAGAAAGCAATACGGATGATAAAGCTAGAATTACCAAGCACTTAGAACAGGGGTCAGCAACCTTTTTCAGCCGTGGGCCAGTCCACCATCCCTCAGACCAGGTGGTGGGCCAGACTATATTTGAAAAGAAAAAAAAATGAACAAAATCTTATGCTCCACAAATAACCCAGAGACGCCTTTTAAATAAAAGCACACATTCTACTCATGTAAAAACACCAGACAGGCCCCACAAATAACCCAGAGATGCATTTTAAATAAAAGCACACATTCTACTCATGTAAAAACATGCTGATTCCTGGACTGTCCACAGGCCAGATTGAGAAGGCGATTGGGCCGGATCCGGCCACCCGGCCTTAGGTTGCCTACCCCTGACTTAGAAGAATAAGTCTTTGTGAAAAGAAACCCTGCCTGTATGACCTTTTTAGCGTTTATTTATTTGGATTATTTTTATAGACCACTTATATTTAAACAAATCCACTTGAAGCTGTTTTGTTCTTCGAGTGTCAAAAAGCATGTGGATAGGGGCAATCTAGATGGCACTGCATACTCTGACTTTCAACATGCTCTTGGAAAAGTCCCTCATCAAAGAGGAAGCTAAGCCAAGTTTACTCATGAGGTAAGAGGGCAGGCCCTCTTATGGATCAGTAGTGGGTTAAAGAACAGGAAGCAGACGGTAAAAAAACAAAACAAAGACAGTTCTCACAATGTAAGGATGTAGGAAGTAGGGTCTCTCAGGATCTATATTGGGACCTGAGCTTTTAAACTTGTTCATAAGTGATCTAGAGTTAGGAGTGAATAGCGAGAGAGCAAAGTTTGCTGGTGACAACAAATGGTCAAAACAAAAAGGCACTGAGAGGAGTTTGAAAAGGATCTACCCAAACCTGGTAAAGGGCAGTAAAATTGCAAAGGCAAAACAAACAAGTGGAAAGTGATGCACGTTGGGGCAAAAATTAATAATAAATAAAGATCTAGCTCACATATATGGTGCCTGAACTGGCGGTAACCTACAAGGAAAGAAATCCTGTGGCTGTAGTGGATGGTTGGTTTAAGATGCTGACCCAGCTATGGCCAAAGCGCATTGCACGTTAGGGAGCAGGAATAGGAAGAATCATTGGATTGTAGAGTTGGAAGGGACCCTGACGATCATCTAGCCCAATCCCCTGCAATGCAGGAACATGCAACTGGGGATCGAACCTGCAACCTTGGCGCTATCAGCACCACGCTCTAATCAACTGAGTTATCCATCTACATGTTGTGCTCATGCAGACTTCCCATAGCATCACTGTGAGAACATGATGCTGGCCTAGATGGCCAGCTGCTCTGATCCAGAGGGCTCTTCTTATGTTCTTAAATCAGCCTTTTAACTTGTTGATTTAAATCACTGAAATAAAATCTTCCTTCACTGCGATTCAGAGCACTGCAGTAATTAATCCAGAAAGGAACATACCACAGTGCCCAAATCACCGTCTTCCAGGAAGGCATATTACATATTACATTACTTTTTTTATTACACTATATCAGAAGAGGTGAATGGCACTCATGGGTACAACTGTCAACTAAGCATCCGGGAGCAAAAGTCAAACAGGAATGATAAACTCTGGGCGGCTTCCAACAAAAGATTAAAAATACATTAAAACATCAGTCATTAAAAACTTCCCTAAACAGGGCGGCAAGAATTCCCAAGTTATGCAATTGCTCATTTAAAGGTAACTGGAACCACACTCTTCCACAAATGCCATGCACCATTGTCCTGGGAAAGCTACAATAGTCAAGGGCTGCGAAAAATGATTCTATGCAACTCAGTGGAACATCATTCCTTAGGTTTTATATGCAATACTCTGGCCATTACCTCATTGAAGGCGTTATTAGTGAACAAGAGCTCGTGCAAAAGGCTAAGTTGTATTGTTGTTGTTGTTTAGTCGTTTAGTCGTGTCCGACTCTTCGTGACCCCATGGACCAGAGCACGCCAGGCACTCCTGTCTTCCACTGCCTCCCGCAGTTTAGTCAGGCTCATGTTTGTAGCTTATATTGGCCTATAAGTTGTATAGGCCAATGTAATTCTAGCCCTAGGACTACAGTCTGGAGACTAGAGCAACCCTTGACAATACAGACCCAGACATGAATTAGTGTCAAATCAGAGACTTGCACATATTACTCAGCTTAGCATTATGCAGCATCCTAGTAACCAGAGAAATGTTGAAGAAAGATGTAGCCAAACTCTCAAAAATAAGAACAAGCATTTTGTTAACATGTGAAGATAGGCTGAAAACCATGGAAGACTATAGAAATGCAACTGGCCTCTATGGCAGCCACTTCTCATTAAACACGTATGAAAAGCAGTAAGATGCCTAGTTCAGCTGTGAAGTCACAATTCATGAACAGTAGAAATCTGTCTGTTTTGTTTCTATGACTAGTGATGATCATTTCCACAAGCATGATTTTATCGGCCAATTTTCTGCTACCTACTGCTTTTCAGACACAAGAATCTTCTCTTTCTGTAAATAAATAGGCGTGGTTGTGATAGAGACGTGTAGTGAAGACAGGCATTTAAGTAAAGAAACCAAAAGGGTTTCATACAATAGAGGCCGACTAATAACCTCAGCAGGCATGCTTTAATTTCAATTCTTTATGGATAAGCTAACCAACAATATAAGCTCTTGAGTTCAAAAGGAACACTACACACACCTGTGGAGTTTCAATCAAACCACAAAATCTGTTAAACAGGGTGATCTCCGCTACACACAGTCAGCTGGTTATAAGCAAAGGAATGTGTGACATTGGTGGAGTTGGGTCATATGTATCTTACCTTAGCAGCTTAAAAGCTCTGGTGGCGTATTATGAGGTATGATAGCTGGCCCTATGCCAACCTTAATAGCACTTATGGACCTATAAACATAAGAATGCATACATGCATATTATATTCTGCAAATATGCAGGAACAAGTCCAAAGAAATTAAATAAGTACAGTTTGACTTGCTTTTTCCCTGCTGGCTAATTCAATCATTTGTTTCGTAATGTACCCCAAGGTCCAGTTATTGTGACAACTAAGAGACAACCTCATCTGATCTTGGAATAACAGCATGCACTATGGTGTGTTGTTGTTGTTTAGTCGTGTCCGACTCTTCGTGACCCCCTGGACCAGAGCACGCCAGGCACTCCTGTTTTCCACTGCTTCCCGCAGTTTGGTCAAACTCATGCTGGTAGCTTCGAGAACACTGTCCAACTATCTTGTCCTCTGTCATTCCCTTCTCCTTGTGCCCTCCATCTTTCCCAACATCAGGGTCTTTTCCAGGGAGCCTTCTCTTCTCATGAGGTGGCCAAAGTATTGGAGCCTCAGCTTCAGGGCCTGTCCTTCCAGTGAGCACTCTGGGCTGATTTCCTTAAGAATGGATAGGTTTGGTGTGTACTATGACTTAAGTTGTCGCTTTGAGACAGCTGATGGTATGGTATCTTTCAAGATCACATTGTCCTATGTACGGTGAAAAATTACTACTAGCAACTACTATTACTACATCACTGTGCCCATTTTCCTTCCCCCAGATGATAAAACTCTTGGACACGTCATTTTTTAAACCGAGCAAGTTCCACAAGAGGAGGAAGATGGCTAGAGGACTGCATTATTCTGTTAAAAATAAGAAAATATCTATGGTACCCAAGCATTAAGCAGGGAGTGGACACTATGCTTATCCCTTCTCACATGTGCAACGGTGCACACATGGGGAGGAATAATGCCTTCAACAACTTCTAGTTGTCTGTGAATATGTTCTCATTTTAACACATTTCCTGTGTATTCGGCTACTCATAACAGCAACTTGCCATGCATTTGCAGTACCACATAAAGTAACTGCAAGTGATCCCAGAATAAGTATAAAAATGTAAATATTAAAATTCATGTTACGATTTTAAACGTCACAACACAAACAAATCATGCAGATCAGTTCAGTCCCCCCCCCCCGCATCATACACCATAAAGGCTTGTTAAACAACTGGTGTAAACCAAAATTATTGAAAGAAATTGAACAACTATAGCGTATGGTTTAAAATATTAAAAGGTGCAAAAATTTGCATGTTTCAAATAACATTCAAAATGTGTACCTTTCTCAAAATGTATAAAATTGGATGAGGAAATTAAATTGTTTCAACAGTCATAGAAGTTTGACTTTCTAAAGTAGAGTTTAAGACGCCTGTTTGTAACTTCAAGCAAGTTGCCTGATCTGACAAACATGCACCAATAATAAATGACTTACACTGGAGTGCAGCTGTACTAACATTTATACAAAGTTACACAGTCATATGCATTCCATTATCACAGGTGTTGGCTTTCCACTATGAGTTACAACTAATAGGAAACTTGAACAAGTATACGCAAAACCCCCAGACTGGACTATTTTTACAAGCAGCCAAGGCGGGAGATGATATGAGTCCATCACCCGTAAACATAATAAATGATGCAAAAAGCCACATGCAGCACTTCATAAATTGGACAAGGTTGGTACTTTAGAAATCCCACCATCTTGATGTTATACACTGATTACATTGCTTGGCAGGCATCTAGAGAAGACATCACCTGTCCATTTATGTACAATGCTGTTAGAACAAAAAGGAAGTATTCTCAATTCTACCTTGTGAGAATTAAGACAAGGTGAAAAGCACAACCACCATATTGGAGCTAGCTGTCTAACTGCACCCACCCACACTCCGGTCAACTCTTACAAGTTTGGAAGCCGCACTGTATTCAGGGGAAACCATTCAAGGGAAACCCAGCCAGATGGGTGGGGTATGTATTAATTAATTTCTATTAGTATCATGAAGAGTCCTGGCAATCTCTATTGTTATTAGTTTCAGGAGAACTAGTAACAATAGATCTCTCAGCAGCTTTCAGTATCATCAGTCATGGAATTCTGGAGCAGCGGTCCAAGCTGGGTGGAGACAACACTGGGTTGTAGTGATTCTGCTTTTATGTGGATAGCAGGTTCCAGGTAATGCTGGACCACATAGCATTTACGTCTCAGGGTCTTGCAGCAGTGTTCAAAATTCCCCCAGTGCCAGGTGTGTTTTGCTATTGGCGCAGGTCCAATTATTGTTCTTATTCATTTCATGTTTATACCGCTTTGCATTTTAAAGGGGAAAAAAATCAAAGCGGTTTACAACACATTTAAACATCAAATACCAGTACATCAAATACAACAACGCAGAATAAAACAGATTCAAGCTTCAAGGAAAATATTTCCGATCCTTCTCTATGTGACATTTTGCTTCTCAACCTAACCTACCTCACAAGGGTGTTATGTGGATTAACTGAGCAGTGGAAGAACTATCTACTCCTTGTAGAAAAAAGGTGGGATATACGGTAAATACAATAAATAATCTCTTCTGCTTGCCTGCTTAAGAAAGCTGGAGGGGACAGCTAGATGGAGACGTCCATTGCCAACCTAGCATCCAGAGATTTCCACATGGTTGCCAGTTGCAAAACTCACCCGGCTAATTTAGAACACTACCTTTCATTATTAACTAGCATTATGCAAGACTGTTATTGATGTTTTATGTCTGTTTTCATCATGGCTATGTTTTTAAGCTTTATGAGATGATATCAACTCTTTACATGGCTAGATGAATCGGAGTGCAGCCATTAATTTTATTTTTTTTAAAAAAAAATCTGTGCTGCTTTGCATCTTATGATGGCTCGTTTGGTTTACTCAATTTGCGTTTTTTGGCATTTAACAAATGAATATTCTATAACACAGTATTACATTCTCTGCAGGCTTCTGGAATCTGCCTGTGCTAAAGTTTTTCCATACACAAAGGGGGAGGCTGTGAATGTTCAATTAGGGACAACTTAAGCTATGTATATGGCTCTCATAAATGTTTCTTTTATCAAATGAACAGTTATGGCATCAACCTGGGAGGTTGATGCTTAAGTCAGAGAACTGTAACACCATGGACTCTAATAGCTGCCTTTATTCAGCACCTACACTTTTTCCTGCTTAGGGTAATGAAATAAGTATTAAGACTACAGGGGTTTTTTTCTTTACAAAAGAGGTCCAAGTGATTTGAGTAAAGGGACATTGCAACAGCTCATACAGAAGGTTTTATCTGATCTGAGATTTGCTGACACACTAATGAAGGCTGAAGCAGACAAGGCAAGAGAAAATGTTGTTTGAGCACAAATTTAAATGTTTATTCACTAGGCTGCTTGGGTTTGAGAACACTGCCCAAACACAGCTCTTCCAATGCGGAGACAATATTTTCTAGT